CCATCCATCCATCCATCCATCCATCCATCCATCCATCCATCCATCTCTTGGAGTTTGGATGCCTTTGGGGTCTTATCTGACCATCCTATCTAATCTATCCATCTATCCATCTATCCATCCATCTATCTAATCTATCCATCTATCCATCTATCCATCTATCTATCTATCTACTGACCTACCTACCTACCTGGATGCCTTTGTTGTCTCTTCTGACCATCCTATCTCTCTCTGCCTCTCTCTACCTACCTACCTACCTACTTGGATGCCTTTGGGGTCTCTTCTGACCACGTATCCATCTTTCATTCCATCCATCTCTTGAGTTTTGGATGCCTTTGAGGTCTTTTCCATCTATCTGTCTGTCCGTATATCTATCTATCCACCACCCACCCATTTAGCTCTATATCTACCTCCCCTTCCCCTATCTACCAATCTATTTACCATCTAAATGTCTTGTCTTATGACATCCTCCTATACCTCTTCCATGTTGGGCCCCTGTTCAACCACCAATTCAAACTCTAGACTCCGCTTGAGATGAAGGAACGAAGCCTAGGGTTGGTTTGGTATCTTCTCAGTTTTATTGGGGGTGTGGCCTTCTTTGCTCCTTAACATGACAACCCTCCTTTCCTACTTTGCTATTCTTCTTGGGATCGGGTTATTTCCCCGTCCAAAGCATCCACGTCCTTTCATCTCTTCACATAAGAGACACACAAAACACAAATCGCCTGCATGGTTATATTTCAGACAAATGCAACAACGCCATTTCCAAAAAACAATGACAACCTTTGGGGGCGATCCCTCCCTCTTTTTTTTATGGCAAATTGGAAATTTCCTCGTTTACAATTGAATAATCGCAAAAGGGAAAAAGAAACAGAAACTGGAACAATCTCGAAATGTCAATCACACAACCGAAGGTGTCCGGAAACCATTTTAAATAGCTTTAAATATATTTTTAAACAAACAAAGACCCCTCCAAAACCTGCTACAAAGGCTTTATATATATATATATACACATACACATCGGTTCGATGCAGAATTCCTCATCCAACGGAGGAAAAAACGTAACACGGTAAGAAAAGGGAATGACAGTGAACGTGGCACCGGATCGCCAAACTCAAGAGGAAAACTGCAAATTGTAAAGAGGTAGATTACTTTTTTGTCAGCGGTGTTGAAACAAAGGGGTGCACGAGCAAAACTAAAGTGTTTTATTTTTATTTAACCAACTTTTTTGGGGGGGAAAAAGCTAGTTCCTCCAAAAGAGAGAAAATACAGTTCTGGATGAACAATAGTAAGTAGAATAATAATAGTAGGAAAGGAGGGTCGCGATCCGATACCGTCAGTGACCTTCTCTGTGTATGGGTTTGTGCTATACAGCGGAGAGGCTGTTTCGGGCACCCAAACGGTCCAAAGAACCCTCTCGTTCCACCCCAAAAGCCCCCCAAGTATGAACAAGATGTCCGGGGAGGGTCTTGATGCTTTTCGTCCTTCCTGAAAGCAAGCCGGAGAGTTTGATCCACGTCCGTCGCCAAAGGCCGAGCGAAGCAAGGCCCGGAACGCCCAAGCGGCCAGCACAGCTCCAAGGAGTCCGGCGTTTGGCCCCAAATGGGTCTTGTGCCCACGGGGGGGACTTCCGGGCCTCGGGACTCCGCCCGCCTTTCAAGGTGAGGATTGCAACCGTTTTGAGCCCGACGGTTGAGAAACTGGGAGGCCCTCGCATGCATGGGTTCGTCAGAGCGGGCTCCTGGAGGGAAGGAAAAGGAGAGGGTTTTCTGAAGAGCTAGCCAGGTCAAGGCTGATATCCATCCATCCATCCATCCATCCATCCATCCACCTACCTACCTACTCACCTACCCATCCATTCATCCATCATCTCTTGGTTTCCTTCTTCTGCCACCTCTCTACCTCCATTGTCCCCTCCCCCTTATCTATCTATCTATCTATCTACCTACCTATCTATCCAACTATCCATCATCTCCTTCCTTCCTTACCGTCACCACTCCCTCCAAAAGCCCCTCACGTCTATCTAATCTATATCTATCCATCTATCAATCTAGCTATCCAT